GGAGGTGTGTCGGGTGGGCCCGGCTCTCCCGCCATTCCTGGGACTGAGGATCCCCCTCCGCGCAGGGATCCTGTGGAATCTCTCCTCCAGTGACAACCTGAAGGACCGCCTGGCCCGGGACACGCTGGAGCAGCTCACGGACCTGGTCCTGGTCCCCCTCTCCGGGCTGGGGGGCTCGGGTGTCATCCAGCAGAACCCCTCTGAGGCGGAGATCTTCTACAACTCCACGGGCTTCCTCAGGTATCTGCTCTGGGCCAGCTCCGGTCCCCCCACTGTGAGTGAAGTTTTGGGTGGAGGATGAGATGCTATCTGTGCCCTATAGGTGTGGAGCACGGTCTCTAGGGCTCGTTTCTGGGGTCCCCACCCTTTGCAGCACTTGTGCATCAAGGCAAAGCCTGGTCAGCCCCACGGGAGGGGTAATAGCTGCCCTCCCCACGGTGGTGCCCAGTGGCAGGGAAGTGTGGGCCCCGGTGGCAGGAAGGGGGTGGCGTGGGGAAGCCCCTTCTCGCCGTGATGGACTTGTGTTCCTCGTGCAGGAATCTCAGCTCTGCCAGCCAGCAGACTCGGCAGAAGATGCGCGAGTGCCACGGGCTGGTGGACTCCATGATCCACTATGTGAACAGCTCCCTGGAAGTGGGCAAGTCGGAGGACAAGGTGAGCCCCGGGAGCTGGGTGCTGGGAGGGTTTGGGTGCCCTCAGACAGGTGCTGCTCCCTCCCTTCTGGTGGCCACCTGGCTGCCATGGTTCAAAGGCACGTCTCGATGTGATGGAAAACCAGTCTGGCTCCATCTGGGCTTACTGGGCACAGGGAGGCTCCGCCGGTGTCATCGGGGTGACCCTGGCCACGGAGCCCCATGGGGTTGCGCCCCAGGGGATGTGCGGGCTGGAGATGGCCTGGCAGGCGGCACAAGGACTGACACCCGCATGTCCCATCTCCCCCCACCCAGAGCGTGGAGAACGCTGTCTGCGTCCTGCGCAACCTCTCCTACCGCCTGTACGACGAAATGCCCCCGTCCTCCCTCCAGCGCCTGGAAGGCCACAGGAGGAACAACAGCGGCGTGGTGACCGGGGAGCTGGTGGGCTGCTTCAGCCCCCAGAGCAAGAAAGCGCGAGAGGTCAGCAGCTGGGAATGGGTGGGCACGGTGATGGCCGTGTCCCCTGGGGCGGGGTTGGCACTGGGAAGCAGCTGGCAGTGGAGGTGACGCTGGGGTGGAGGTGGACGCCAGCCTCAACTGTTGGGTGGGACACCCGGGTGAGCTCAGCGGAGGGTGAATCAGGTGTGTGGGGTGAATCAGGGTGCCGAACCCCCACTTCGCCACACCACGAGGCACGACGCAGCTGGGGTGACCTGCCAGGTCCCTGCCGGCCTGGAGCTGCCCGACGGTTGAGGCCAGGCACTTGGGGAAAAGGGGACACCCGCAGCGAGGCATGCTGCAGAGGGGACAGCCCGTATGAGACTAACAGTGCCACCCCCATCCCTGCAGCACTACCTGAATGCGGACATCGTCACCTTCACGGAGGTCTCCAAGGACCCCAAGGGCATGGAGTGGCTCTGGAACCCGCAGATCGTGGGCATCTACAACCGGCTGCTGCAGCGCTGCGAGCTCAACAAGCACACGACGGAGGCGGCCTCGGGTGCCCTGCAGAACATCACTGCCGGGGAC